ACGGCACGCCGACGCCGCCGCCCGCGCCCCCGGCCGAGCCGCCGCCGCCGCCCGCCGCGCCCCCGGACCGCGCCTAGTGCGCTAGACGCCCCGATCTCCTCAGTCTTTGTGATAATAATATGTAAAGTACATTCCGCCGGGCGGCCCGCCCGCTCGCCGACTCACGCTAGTGCAATACGGCCCGCTGAGGTTTGTCGTCCGAGACTCGCGCCACCGTCATACTGTTGTAGTGACAATAAGGTAGTCGCGCGCCGGCTCTGGTCTCGGCATGTAGTGTCTCCTCTTTCTGTTTCCGCTTCCTCGGTCAGTCCGGACAGTCCTCACACACACGTATCCACATCAACACATAATCACCAAATATCACAATAGTTACCTAAAAGTCACAACCAGTTCAATATATCACAGCTTTACTTATGCAATATCACAATAATGTTAGTGTTTAGTGTCCATGACAGAGATTCGGATGCCGTCGGTTGTGACTTGCAGTCGCGGTGTCACGTTCAGCAGGAGCATGAGCTGCCCGGCTTCTGTTCCCTGCAACTCCTCGCTTACGTGACGATCAGGCACAATCTTTCATTTCATCTTCTAAATTCAAATGAGTACGAAACCATTGTAGGGTTGAACGACACTGCACGTTGCAAGCGGCGCTAGGGTTGTCCAAAATTCACGCAAATCCAGAGAGCCTCAAATTTTGACCTTGTTTTAAGTAAAAGACAACCAAAAGTTAACGTTATAAATTAACTATTTAAAATAATTTTTAAGTAATAAAAAAACAATGTAACAAATTAATTATAAAGCTAGCTATGAGTGTAAATGTTATCGATTTTTAAGTGAACTATTGCAGATTTTGTGCGGTGTTTTTATAATTAGATAGGTAATATATTGAATGAAATTATTAGCGCTATTGGCGGGTAGTGCGGTTGTGGTATTGTTGGTCGCGTCGTCGCCGTCGCGTCGTCGTGTCGCCGTCGTGTCGCTGTCGTGTCGCTGCCGTGTCGCCGCCGTGTCGCGATCGCGACGTCGCAGGGCACTAGCTGTAGACGGGAATGGCGTCTCAACGGTCGGCTGGGCTTCGCCTATACGAAGCTATGTTCGGACTTATGTGCAATTATTATTTTGTATAAAATAGTAATTTTAACTGTGTCTAAGCTAACACGTGGATTTCCATATTACTGAATGTGATATTTAGGTATTACGAGTGCGGTTTGATCACGATTGACGAGCTGCGGGGACCGCCGGGCCCCGTCATATATACACGTACGTACGTTAAATACATCTAGTGAACTTATATATTTTATGTACTATTATTGTATCTTAAGAAGATAATATTCTTATTTTTCATGGTCCAAGTTTTAAATGTTTTATCGACTATACAAAAATGTGGATAATCATTATTATATTCTTGTCGACTTTAAAAATTATAATTAGCCCAAAAATCCTCAAAAAAAAAAATGATATCTTCAAATTTGTGAAATTTTTTGGTGTTCAATCAAAAATATATTATGGAAAGTACGAGATGAAAAATGTATACGCTCTCCCAAAATTAAATTTAGGTAAAAACTATTTCGATATAAAATTATCGTACGATACTTATTGTAAGTTATGTGTACATGTGCGCCTCATGGAAATTAAGAAGTCTTTGTATTATGTATGTAATTAAAATATACATAATTATATTATATACAAGTTAAAATTTAATGTCGTACATTTTTCTTCGGAGACCACGAGTGATGTGCAAATACAAGTTCGTGAGATTGCACTCGACATTTCGGCACAAATATTATTATATTAACTAATATATATCTCGGACCGAAGCGAAACAATTTATTATATACAAGTGATATTTGAAATCATAATCCCAAACAAATACATATCCCTTATGGCGAGATGTCGAGCTCTCTCAACAAATGGTAAAAAAAAACAAAAATTTTTATATTCAAAATTTTAACCTAGTCGATAGCATGTCTTTCACGTTTGGTTTCTCTGTGCATAATTTTCGACGTCTTTTTAGCATTTAATCTTAAAAAAAAAGTTAATCTATAAACGTTATGTGCATTTATCTGAGTGATGAATACTTTTGTATATTAAAAACAGATTATATTAGATAATTTATCGTCGTGTTGACATCCCTACCAGACCGCATTTCGAAATTTGAAATGTTTAAAGATCGAACAACTTTTTTTTTCTCAAAAATACGTACACGAATCTGTGTGTTATGCCTGACATTTGTTGATAGCTTAAAACAAAAAAGGTTATTTTGTGTAAGTTTGTACAGACATAGGATGGGACAATTTGCAAAGAGAATTTAGATAATAATCAACATTCCGTTTAGAATGTTATTAGATTTTTTTTAATTAATTAATATAACTATTTTTTGCATCGGGAACAAATAATTATGTTGTTTAATCTTATTTTGTAACGTTAGTTAATTTTTAAGTGGCTTTATTTTATAAAATAACCTTTATATATGATTAATTGTCATATTATATTGAGATGTTATACATTCATTGTTTTTGTGCGAAGTGTTTGGGGTTCTATTCCCGATTAAAGAGAGTTGCGACTGATATGTAGTAGAAAATAGCCGAGTGCTGGAGGCACTGGCTCGGTCGGTACAAATGGTATACACCGCCTTAACACTTAAAAATGTTATTGACAGTGATCTCTACAATACTTAAAAACAATAATCAAGGCGAGGCGTGGATCGAGCTCTGATGGCGGACCGCAGTAGGATCCTACTGCTACGAGACAGTTCAAAATTAATTTCCGTTACATTGATTATTTTTTTTAGTAAAACAAGAATGGGACTGTTGTCGTCAAACACATGATACACCAAAGCGGAAAAGAAATATAAATTTACAAAAATACAACTGCCTCCATTCAAATACCTCATTCATAAGCGATGCAAACTTACTTAATGACATTTAATCAGAGTACACCCGAAGCCGACGGTCAGCCATGTTGTTTGATAACACCAGTTTTAGTCGATAGAGGTCACTGGTTTATTAGTGAATCATTTTTATTGTATATTGTTCAATCATTTTTCCACATAGTTTAAGAATTTTAGTTAATATTGTAGCGTACTTTTCAATTAAATAGGTAGTCTGTAGCAATTCTTTAATATTTTTCTTGTTAATTTTTTTTTTCGTAAATGTAATAAATTCTCCGTAAGGGTTAGGTTAGTCTTGAACGGTCCTCAACTGGTCCAGGAACAAAAGACAATGAAGGGAATGTTGCATTTTTAATTAAAACGTTAAATATTATCGTACTAAGCGGCCGCGACATCGCTGCTCGCGTCCGATGCGTCTGCTCTCGTACGCGTATCCGACCGAAATGCGAACACATTGACACTTTCTTATTTCGACTTTCGAATTGCACAATTCGATTTTTGAATTTGAAACGTTGAGCGCGGCTTCTCGTAAAAGACATTGCCAGGATGTTAGTTTACGAAGCATTTTTATGGACACAAGTTGTTTGTTTGTGTGACTGTACCTAACTTCATGTCGATTCCCAACTATACAATGTGTCGTTGTGTAGCTCGATCATACGGGAGATGTTATACTAAGTTAGTACTCTATTTTGAACGCTATGCCCAACCGCGTATAGTTGAGAATCGACTTTTCTATAAATGTAAGAATCACCTAATGTCGTCACTAATTGTTTTCCCTTTTACATCTTGTATGTATTTCTAGATGGTTAATTTTAAAACATTAATGATTATTGTACTATTATTACAATAATTGACTTATTATTATTGACATTTAGCATTATCGTGGAAAGGTATAGAATATTGAATGAAAGTTTTTAAACGTCTTGTCTAGACGCAGTTCTCGAATGTTCCACATTCGTGTTATTTTTTTTTTTATATAAAAAATATGTACAACAAGAAGCATTTAATTTTAGAAATATGAGATACCTATAATGTTATAAATTTATTGATGAAATGGTAGCACATCAGGTATTTGCTACATCGATTGTATTTATTTTGAATTAACGCTTAAAAATACTACATCACACTGCTGGGGACATTTAAATTTTGAATGTGTTCTTTGCGAAATTTGAAATTGGAATTCTTTTTGTGATTTAAAAAACAAAAAATCAGTTAGGTAATGGACCAATGTATAAGATAGATAAAACTGTTATTCCCTGATGAATGGCTCACATTTTTTTTATAATATTATATAAACTGCGCAATGAGCTAACAAGATCAAATTATAATATTGTTATTTAATTATTGAGTACAAGTTTTAATGAAATATTTTTTTTTCAATATACCTTACTCGCCTCTTTATTTTTGTTATTTTGTTCCTTTAGTTTTTATTATTATTATTGTTTAAATCATAAACAGATGATTAGATTTCGAGTTTAATTTAAGCAACTCATAATTATTTTTATTACTTATAAATTATATAAAATATATATATGATATCTTTCAATTCCTCAGTATGAAAAGTGATGTTTATTAGTTATTCCGGAATCCATATCATGAAGGGAAAGGAAGAAAATCGTAAAAATTGGCGGAAATATGTGATTGGCACAGCACTATTGTATTAAATCTAGTCAAATTTTTAGGATGGTGAAAAAAATTGAGAAGCTAAGCTTACGATGATTCGACTGAATTTTTGATAAAAAAAAATTAAACAAACGTCCAAAACCGTCGCTAGGCGACTTAAAAAAAAAAAGAGTTGATTTGAAATTGTGGAATTGTAGCCGATGTTTGTAAAAATACTGTTTTCTAACTTACTTATACTGTAACAAGAATAGGATGATTTGAAGTGAAAAAGTAATGTTTTTTCATTATGTAATGTCCTTTTTATCTATAGGATCTTTATACCTTACGTTAAATATCATAATGACATGGCTGGTTAGGCAGGTGTAATGTGCGAGGATATTTAAAACCTGTATACAATAAATTTCTTTCATTTGTTGAAATTCTTTATTGTTTTATTTCACGCACACATTCTTATTAATGACCCCTAATACTACCGAAAAGACCAGAGGACAAAGTCGTTCCAATGAAAAATAAAATCCATATAGATATTTTTTTATTGAGAAAATATATCTAAGTTTTTTTTTTACTTAACTTAACTTTTAACTAGTGCTTGAGGTATGTATTGTACATAATAAACAAGTATGTACAATGCTTCATCAATACATTAAAACGAGCAAGTTTTTTTTTTAATGATAGGTCGACTAACGAGCTGACGGATTACTTGATGGTAAGCAATCGACATGTGTATCTTGCCTGTCCTAACCTACGGTGCGCAAACTTAATGTCTTACCGAGTGTCAGAAGTTCAGGCTCCGGGTTTGCCAAAGGGCAATGGAACGTAGCCTGTTAGGCATAAAACGGACTGCTCGCATACGGAATACCGTGATACGTTCCAAAACAGGAGCCGCTGATGTGGGCCAAAAGGCGGCAAAATTAAAATGGGACTGGGCCGGACACGTCAGCCGAATGCATCCGGAGAGATGGGCCACTATTGTCACCCAGTGGAACACCTCAGGATGGAAGCCGCAGGCGGGGTAGGCCCCGGAAAAGATGGCGTGACGATCTAGACGCCTATCGTCGAGACTGGTGGACACGGTCGAAGGATCGTGAGGTGTGGAAGCGAGATGGGGAGGCCTTTGCCCAGCAGTGGGACATTACAAGCTAGTAAAAAAAAACAATCGGAACTCCAAATACAAATACAAATTTCTTTATTGTGGGACATAGGTAAGTAAATAGGTGTTACACGTTTCAAATATTGTAGGTACCTACACAACTATGACCGTAAGTCGTGGTAGCCCGGATGTTAAGGAGCCCGCTTCTCATGCATAAGGGTGTGGGTTCGAAACCTGGCAAGTACCAATGTGACTTTTCCCAAGTTATATGTACTTTCTATGTGACATACGGTGAAGGAAAACATCGTGGGGAAACCTGGACTTATAATTTCTAATTATAAGTTTGAAATCGCCAACCCGAATTGAGCAAGCGTAGTGATTAATGCTCTAACCTTCTCCGTATGAGAAGAGGCCTTAGCTCAGCAGTGGGCTCTTGTAGGCTGATGATGATGAACTATGACCCGCCATAATGGCTTACAATAACTTTAAGTGTTTATAACACACCCCTATGTTATGTTACCCTAACATTCAATTTGGGAAGGATTGGGCCTCCGGTAACCTCACTCACACGATGAAACACAACGCTGTGGTTGTTTCACGCCGGTTTTCTGTACGGCCGTGCTATCACTCCAGTCAAGCCGGCCCATACTCAACGAGTAACATATTACAAAATAAGACCGCAAAGCTTATCTATTTTTAAGAAGAGAATCCAAACTAATATTCGGTATAAATACGAAAGTAACTCTGTCTGTCTTTTCTTCACACCTAAACTACTGAACCTATTTGTGTGAGATTTGGTAGAGTCATAGTTTGGAACTCGAGAAAGGATATAGGATAGTTTTTAAACCAAAAATCTGAAACTATTCCACGCGAACAAAGTCGCGGGCAAAAGCTAGTGATACATCTATAAAGACATTTTACCAGTAAATTTGTGACCAAATATTAGAATAAGATATATCAATGTCAATATTGTGGGTTGGAAGGTCTCTAATTAAGGTATGTGTTGGATATCCTTACTTATTTTCATTATGTTGACCAATTATTAGTAGGTTTTTCACTTCACAAAACAGGATTTTCTATCATATATTGATAGATATCTATAAAAACAAAAGCCATAAACTCTACAAATAAATTAAATAGGTCATAAACAAAGACGAATGGATAACTAGTTAGATTACCTAAATAAGTATATAGGTACACCTAAGAAATTGGAAAAAATGTGATCATTAAACTCGGGTTGTCTGGAAAACTTTTCATTAACTTTCATTATAGGTTTCAGGTTTAGAATTACGAATTAAAATCTCATATTACTAAAACAACTTTGCTTGGAAAATATAAAGAGAAAAACTTGAATATTCATTTCACAGTTTTAGATAGGTTATTAATTCCAATTCATCGTGATCAATGACCATTCACCAATCTGATGGATTTGGGATTTGTCAGCCTTCCGAATTCTACGTGGTTGCGAGAGACGCCCAGGATTGGAACCAGTGGAAGAAAATCATCCCTTCCAAATTTTACCCTAACATTGACTATGATATAAGTAATAGAGAAATCCCTTTTTGATATAATTAAGAGTTATCAGTTCGATGAATATTAGGTACTTACTAGCTTTAACCCGCGGCTTTGCACGCGTGGTATTTTGATGAAAAGCCTATATGTTAATCCAGGGTCTCATCTATCTGCCGAAATATCGGGGGATGAGACATCGCGGCCTCGGCCCAGAGAAAGAACGGGGGAACTTTTAGTCAGTAAGAGTCAGACACTCTCTCTCGCCTTACCCTGGGCGGGATAAGGCATTAGATGATTTTCCCCTTACAAAAAAAGGTACATAGCAAATCGGTCCAGCGTAGTTACGTAAAGAATACGTAACAAACATACATCCATACACATTTATAGGTAATATTAGTAGGTTTGTAGTAGGTACTAAATCCAAAAAAAATTCTACATTTTTCTTGGCGTTTGGACTGGCGTTATAATAATGTGGGATATTATCCAAACACTAAATTGAGATTTCGAGATGGCAACGATACGAACGGTACCTCTTTATTAGGAGGGAAAATCATCAAATAACCTATCCCACCCTAGATGGAGAAAGAGGGAGTGACAAACAGTCAGAAAGTGACTCTTACTGACTAAAAACCGACCTGTTCCTACATCTGCTCAGGGTCGGGACCGCATTAGGCTTTCATCCGCAGACCTGACTGAAATTATGGGACCTACATATCATACGGACATATTAATAATAATGTCGCAATGGAATAAGAAAATAAAATAAGTAAACTTTAACAACTATTAGTAAGGTACCTATAACTATTAACAAAATTTTTCGCGTTTAGAAACCACAGCGATTCAACCGGTGTGCGACTTTGGTGCTTCTCTGTACATCACCTTCGGGGATAAAATAAATGAAGTTCTTGCAAGTGGTAACATAATAACAATATGATATTTATTAGGGACCAATTTGGCTTAAACTAGAAGAGCTTAGGTACACGTCGTGTTGTAAAAAAACACGAATAAGGATATGTATTCAAAAGTCTTTTATCCCAAATATATTCAAGTGTATACCTACTATAATTAAATTAAAAATAAAATAAGTGTGGGAGTCGTGCTTCAACATAAATGGGTCTGGTCGACTGTTTTGGTGTCCCTCACAGAAAACCGGCGTGAAATAACTATAGCCTTGCGTTCTGTGCCGTTCGTGTGGGGTTACTGGAAGCCCCATACTTCCGCTCCCAAAATCCCTATAAATCTCCAAAACCCTAATACTCAATAGGTCGGCAACGCACTCCTAACTTCTCCATTGTTGCCGATGTCATATATTATTGTATTAAATAAAAAAACTGACATAAAAACAAGCAAAGCAAAAACTTACAATGTAAAACCACATGATTATTATATGACAAGATAAAATATATGACGGTAACCTCAAATGTAATAAATTAAGTGGTCCCGCTCAAAATTGTCAAGTCCTTAACTCCATTGAATAGCAGATACTTGAATTACATAAAATAAACCATCTTCAACCTGTAATTGCGAGGATAAATAGTGAACTAACCAATATAAGTAGATTACTGGGTTAAAAAAAAATATAAATAAAAGGTAGCCATTTTAGTTTACCGCCATTTTAAGACAAAAAACGCGCGCTAATTTGACAACTTGCATCAACCAAATGTCATATCTCGTTCGGATATTTGTATTGAAAGAAAATATTCGTATATTTATCGATGTATTTGAATGGTGACTGTCTTTTTATTGGGTCGGATTCCGTATGAATATTTTTCAGGTTTTATTCTGTTATGTAAGTTTATGACTGCACGCAACGTGCCGCGGGTTCGATTCCCTTACGGAACAACTCTTTGTTAGTTCCGGGTCTGTGTGTCATGTGTAATGTGAAATTATTGTATGTTAGTAAACGCACCCATGACAAAGGAGAAAATAGTAGTGTAGGCCAACGATTTAAAAAATATATTATAGTTCGGCCGTTCAGAGAATACGTTCCTGACACCTATCAGTTAGTCACGACTAGTGATGGGCACAACATAACACCGAGTACGTTACCGTTCCACCAAAATGAAGCCGCGTTATTTTTAAGACTATTTTCGTTTTAAATTTTCGGAATCATTTAAAATTTATAATTTAGTAATTTAAGTAGAAACCAAAAAAGGTAATATTAGGTAATATAATAAAATAGAAAATAAAAGAAATGAGGTCAGAGTACAGAGTCGAATCATACTCTTTTATTTATGGAACGATTACATTGAGATGGTAAATAATATTCTTTTCTGAATAAAAGTATGTTTAAAATTAATATTTTCTTTTCAAGTAGTTTATTTTAAAACAAATCCCTTTACAATATCAATTTAATTTCAAACACCAGATGCCTAACGGAACCCAAAAGAGCCTCTAACAAAAAACAGTAACCAATAAATTCGACCACAAAATAACGGGTTTCCGTAAACTGAACGATACTTATTTCGATCCTCCGAGCATTTTTGTGCGTCGCCAACGGGCGGGCCACTTGCGAGCAAGGCCGAGGTTTTGGTATTGTAAAAAAGTAAAATTTTCAAAATGGCCGCGGGTATAGTGGGCAACTTAAATAAAAAATAAAATAAAACTGAACTCGTTGTGCCGGCTCCAATTTGGAGGTTATTTTCGCTGGGGGCAATGGAACATCTATTTTTGTAAAGAAAATAATAAGTATGCTAGGCACAAATGGAGTCTGTGGTGTATTTTAAATAATTGTTTAAGTAGTCCAGGTATCTGCCTGCGGACAATTGTTATGTTTTTTGGATCATTCTATTATTAAGTATATTTAATGGCATACTGTTGTTATTTCGACTTCTGTTTGGGGATAAAGACAATTTAAAAGCTAGAAGAAGTTGAATTATAAAATGATTTACGATGCAACTAATAACAAACTCAGAAAACATACAATAAATGATATCTATAATATGCATATCTACCTTAATACAGTTAGGAACATTCAACTAAGCAACGTCATTTGTGCCATGCACAATGTTTTACCGACAATAAGAATCAAGCCCATCCCATCGCAAAGAAGATACCAACCAAATCTAACACCCAAAAAAAGGACCCTAAACATCTAACACATAACCATACATAAGCACCCACACAAACGCACAACCGAAAAATTACATAAACTTAAAACCTGCCTCAATACTAAAAAAAGTTCCAACAAAGGAGTTTCGTCTGCAATAAAAAAAAAGAAAAGAAATCACCGTCCAACCCTGACCCTGCGCAAACGCCGAACGAAGCCGAAATCAGCCGAAATGATCCGATTCGTCGCCAAAAGTACCCTTGACCTTACTGTGCACATGTGTGAGTGAGTTTGTATGTAATTCGGGTACTTTGACTGGTTGCCTGCGGTTTTTTTGTTTTTATGCGACAAAGAGTAAGACGATTTTCGATCAGTTTTATCCGAAGCCTCTGAGAGGAAGGCCCATTTTGAGGCCAAATCTAGCAGCATTTTGGTTTTTGTACTTACTTACTTATATAGATTTGGAGGCAAATGAGCTATAGTAAATAGTTTTTAGAATCAGTCTTAGAGACCACATTAATAACAGAAGTAGAAAGCTAGTTAGCAAAAGCAAAAATGGCATTTTTGTCTTGTAAATAAATGGTCCAATTTTAGCAGCAACTTTGGTTTTCAAATTTTTTTTTCAATTTCTTTTTACATCCCATCTGTCCACAAAATACTCTATGTCAAGCAATTCGGATACTTTTTGTCGGCAGTTCGTGCGAGAACGCACACATCTACACATTAGTGTACATGAACGGTGTAGACGTGTGTGCGCATTTTCGCGGCGTGCAGTCGTTTGGGCAATGCACTCTTGCGCACAATGCCACTAACCTTGGCCATGCAGCTGCGTAGGGACGATTCGGCCCGCCAATTCGGCGTCGCTACGTTCCTTTTTTGTTTTAGTCTAGGGATTTGTGAAGTCTATGTTGTGCTGTGGTATAAACGACCAGACGTCGACCTTTTTAGGGTTGGGTAGGTTTTATATTCATTTAGATTTGATTGAGCTGTATTAAAAGCTTTTCTATTACTATTATTATATATAAATGGATACGAATAACCTCGAAAAATAGCAAGGATATTCTTTATTCTTAAGGACCAACAGCTAACATAGCTAAGGTAATTCATAGTGTAACAGAAGAGAAATAAATAAACTAGTGCGGGCCAATATGGGACATTTATAACATTTTAACGACCACAGCACCCTGTGATAGACCACTACAAGACCAGTAAGGTCTTGAGGAGTAGACAAGGTCTTTAAGGCATATCATCTTCATGCTTGGTATCGTCTCTCTTTAAAGCGTTCAGATTTAGGTACCTATCAGGGAACAATTTTTTTTTGAGGGGAAACATTTCGTAAAGTACTTTAAGAAGACTAAAACCATCCCGTTCCTACTCCTGCTTCAAGTCTTTCTCATCACCTGGATAAGAGTATCTACTTCGCTGCTCAGCATCTACCAAATGTGTAAGTCCTTTTATCGGCTTTAACTCCTGGGTAGAACAGTGATAAAAAAACATACTATTATGGTTAGTGTTAGTGTCTAGAATTAACTTATTTTATGAGATAAATCGGCAAACGAGTATACGGATTATCTGATGGTAAGCAATCGTCGCTGCCCATGGACACAGAGAAGTCACGAGTGCGTTGCCCGACTTTTGAGGATAAGTGTTAAGGTTTCGGAGATTTCGGGATTGGGAATTATTGGCCACCAATAACCTCACTCACAAGGCGAAACACAACGCTGTAGTTTTTTCACGGTTTTCTGTAAGGCGGTGTTTTGTTTTCTGTAATTTCTATCACTCCGGTCAAGTTTCCCACATTTTAACATTTGCATCGAAATAAGCGAAATAAGTCATTGACCTAATGTTCTGCTTACAATTTAGGTGCACTAGTTCATCTGTATACAATACCTGGGTCATAGCACTTAGTGCTGCTTCAGTGCACATTGAAAATGTACCAAATTACCACCATTATGATATTGACAAGTCAATTATTCGGTTTGGGGTCAAAAAACCTTCTGTATATACTGATATAAACTAATATACTGCTTACTGACTGTTCGATAATTGATTTGTCCTCTTTGACAGCGAAACTGGATTAAACCGGCATTACCTGTGATCTCAATAACGAAACGGGAAAAGCAATAGGTTTATAGACTCTACGATTAATCATACCAGAACTTGTTGAATATCAGTATTGTGCGCCAGACGCGAGGAATCCACCACCACCTCCAGTCGCTTCTCTGAAGACATGGTGGTGCTTAGTCCAAGTACACGGAACACGGCCACTGTAAGCCCCAGCATATCCTCTAGGTGGTCCTTGCAGGGACGACACTCCGGCGTTTCGCTGTTACCAGAACCAGTAGCTCCTAAAACCTTCGTGTCCGGCTGCCAGGCAGAAGATGAGGACGGACTTAAAGACGACCTTACCGCTGCATAGCTCGATGTTGACTGTAATTAAAATGTTGGTTTTAGAATAGGGACCGACGTGATTACATAATGATGATGGTGTTCCAAGGTAACATGTCATTACCGCATATTTTGTTGAAATTTGCGGTAATGACATGCATGAAGCATCCACCGTAACTTTACACTGACACAGCCGAAATTAATAAATGATCCTAACACAAAATCTCTGTGTATCGTTCTTTGGTTTTTGGCAAAAGCTCCAATACATACAGCTTAAATATCAAAATATTGGTTTTAGACTTCAATTGTTTATTATTATCGGCTGTTAGAGACATGGGGGCTAAGAAAAACTCCAAAAATTTTTAGAGTTTAGGCTATTTATGGTAAGTTCAAACTACAAAAATCCATTAGTATCTATTAAATAGGTCATACTTAGAAAATTGTTAGAAAATATAGTTTCCGAACTTCACGAAAACAAAATTAAATTTACTTTGTAGAAACATTCATTTACAAACAATTTCGGTGCCTGGTAAAACTATAAATAGTTAATTACTCAACTGAACACAAAGCGACGAAAATGACGTATTCGCCTGCCACTACGAATCTAACCGTTGCCCGCGACCGTGCATATTTAGCACAAAAACAACAATTAAAAAACTATAGGTTTGTACACAAATGCCGCGGCGGACACGCGAGCATGCCTCCATAATACTAAAATTGCCAGCAGCTGACCACTTTTGGCGCTAGTTTTCAAAAAAAGAACGCTTCTACGTATAGATTATAGACAGGTTGTTAGCGTAGAGTTTTGATGTGTTTTTTTATTCGTTTGTTCAAAAAGGTTACATAAAGTACCTAGATAACTTTTTTTGGTTTCGTTTAGTTTGTTAAAAGGGCCTATAGTTTAATTGTCTAGTTTAAAACTACTATCGCATTGTAGATAATTTTAAGTAAGTAGCTACCAAAACTACTCTAACGAAAGTGATACGTAGTAAACACCTTTCTGTCATTGTAAAATAAAAATCCAATGATAGGCTTAATTGTACTCATTCTTAGAACCCCATCATTTATCTAGATGGTTGAGGTACGGCGCTATCCGAACTAATGCGACTTTCCTGAAACGAGAGTACGTAAAGTTCTTAAAAGACCGACTACGCGCCAGTGGATCCTCTGGCGTTGCGGGTGTTGATGGGCGGCGCTGATCACTTACCATGAGGTGATTTAACTGCTTAACTGCTTCCATATGGTGATAGTTAAAAGTAAAAAACAAACTTCTTATAAAATCCACATCCAAACTAAAATTATAAATGCGAAAGTAATTCTATCTGTTTGTCTTTCTGTCTTTTCTGCACGCCTAAACTACTGCAGAAGGACATAGGATAGTTTTTATACCAAAAATCTGCAGGAAGTCCCTATGCCACGCGAACGGAGTTGCGGGCAAAGGCTAGTACATTATAAATTTGAAATTAATGGATTTAACCCTAACCGTTAACTCAAAAGAAAAACGCAGTGATTTGACATTCTTTTCTTGGTTTTTCAAGACGAGGAACAATAGAAATCCGTAGTAAGTAAACAATAATTAAAAGTAATAGAATTTGATGAAAAAAACCACTCGAAATGGTTAAATAAGGGATTTAATTATAAATATTAACGTGGTTCTGTATTATCATCGCATGTAGTTCGGGCATTAGTTTCAAAATGTAATCGCTTTCGACGAAAACTCTAACGCCATAGCGTTTTTGTGTGTACCTATTGAATTTTTTTACAATATGGCCGTTTTGGACAGAAATTTTTGAAATAGGAAAAGTTTGATTTTTATCCATATGTTTAAACTTATTTTTAGATATATCTAAAGCTATTTTATTAACTGTAGATTCTTGCTTTCTAATAATATTCGATTAAGTTAAAAAAATTATTGTTTTTATGTCTTTAAATAGGGAAATGTGAATGAGGAAGTGTGATATTATTATGGGCTAGAAACTGAGTACTAAGGCTGGAAAAGTTGATCAGCCGGGGTCAGCGCTTGAATCTCTCGCATTAAGATACCAGCCTGAAGCAGTAGAAGGAACGGGGTGGTTTTGAGTTAGTAGGTAAGAGCCTGACACTTCCTCATGCCTAACCCTGGGCTCGAGGAGTGATTTGATAATTTTCCCTCCTCAAAACCTGTCGTAGTTTTTTATCACTATTTACCGAGTAGTTACTCCAATGTTGATGTTCGAGATGTTGATCTTAATCTATGTGAGACCACTAAGTAAGTTTCCACTGATCTATGGTTACACTTATGGCATATGGCTACAACTTAAGTATCTACGTAAAAAGAGGTCACAAAATATTGTGTACCTATCTAAGATAGTGACTAAAATATCGAATGACCTTTAGTACAGGTTAAATGTAAAACTACTTTGGAATCCCTCTTTGGTGGAGAACTATCCTGGTGTCTGAGTTGTCGAGCGCTCGACTTTATAACGCTTAGTTTGCATAGGTAGGTACATACCTGAAACCTGAAATATGTTTTAAGTACCTATATACATAACCTATTAATATTGTTGCTTTATGCATTGTTTTCTACACAATAAAAAATACGTATCTAACATATTTTTTTTGTCTGACGGATTTTTAATTTAGCCCTTTAATTAACATTTCCATACATCGTCTCCCTACCTAAGTACTTATACGTGAATTAAAATTTTTCACTTTATTGAAATAGCAGGTTAACTATAAATCGCTATTCAACGAGAGTCGGGATTTGGTTGGCAAAAAAAAAACTATATTTGTTTTGCGATAGGATTACTTGATGTCAAGAAATCAACGCTGCTAATGCACTCGCAAATTGTTGGAGAGCCATGCGTCGGCACGAATGGGTCGGCTCGACCGGAGTGATACCACGGCCTCACAGAAAACCGGCGTGAAATAACCAAAGAGTTTTGTTTCGCCGTGTGCGAGTGAGGCTACCGGAGGCCCAATCCTTCCCCTACCCCAATTCGTTCCCTTTCCCAAAATCTCCAAATCCCTAATCCCCAAAAGGTCGACAACGCACTGGTAACTCCTCCATCGTTGCGGGTGTCCATGTGCGACGCTGATTGCTTACCATCAGGTAATCCGTTTGCTCGTTTGTCGACCTATCACATAAAAAAAGCCAGACGCGAATGCTTTGCTAGCCGCTTGTCGGAGATTTAGGAATTGGGGGAGAATGAGAATTGGGCTGTGGTATCACTCCAGTCGAGCCATCCTATCCGTGCCGTTCGTATCATGTAACCTAGTATGGTCAAAAATAAAAAAATCTTATCCATCCTTCGATTAAAAAAATCTTACAACCTTTATTACCTACTAAATTCGTTTAAAACATTCCATGACTTTGATAATAGGCCCCGTACGCTGGTGACACGCGACGCTCGCGTTAACATCACATATCCGTGTCAGCGACCATATCTGATGGTCCACCTACCTTTTTAAACTAACCAAAACAGCTTTTTGGTGGATTCCAATCGTTTAGAAAGAAACAATCTGGTTTTTTCATGATGAGTTTAATCAGACACAGTGCAAAAACTTCAAATAATAATCTGATACGATGGATGGTTTTTCTGTGAGGGGAAAATCACCAAATGACTTCTCCCGCTCAGGGTCGGGCGCGAGGGAGTGGCAGACTCTTACTGACTACAAACCCCCTCTTCCTTCTCCTACTCTAGACCGAAGCCGCGGTGCCTCATTGCTGACACGACGTTTGGTAGCTGGCCTACATCGTGCCGCGAGTTCGATTCCTGGGCTGAACTCTGTGTGTGATCCACAAATTGTTATTTCGGAGTTAGGCGTGATGGGTAAGGTAAGTATATGAAATGGTAGATTTGTACCCAGGACAATATTTAAATAATTGGCTCTTCAAATAACTAACTTGACTTAATACTAAGTACCTACTAATGTGTGAGGGAGACATGCTTTTAAGTTTGGGAGAGCCATGCTTCGGCACAAATGGGCCGGCTCGACCGGAGTGATACCACGGCGTCACAGAAAACCGTCGTAAAACAAAGACTGCGATGCTTTTTTATTTTAGAATTTGAGCTTCCCGATTTTTGGATGTTTGCTACTCAATAACGCCAAAATGCTTGGACGGATCTGGATGAAATTTGGCACAGGCAAAGGATACACTCCGGAATAGGACATAGGCTACTTTTTATCAACATGAGTAGGTACTACCACGCGGGCGAAGCCGCGGGCGGAATCTAGTATAGATCTAAACACTACGTTTTAGTCTGACGTCATGCTTCCTTTTTCTCTTGGGAGTTCCAGTCGAGTAAGGGACCGTGTGGCTACAGTCAAATTGATTGAATGAGTTTTGGATAAAACAGAATTTTATTTATTCTAAATTATGTTTTGGTAGATGGGTAAGTAGGTAGTATCTGTAGTTATTTCGAATTAGATACACTCTAATACTATGCGACTACTCGAAAAGTAACTGAATTGATCCTTTGTGAATCACCTGATATAAATACCTATCTAACAAAAGTAAAGTCAAAAAAAGTTAGTTACAACAAGAGCCAAAACCATCGAAAAATAATCTGGATATTTTCTCTATTGCAAAAACCAACGAATATTTAAATTCTTAAAAGTTCATCTTGCCTTCGTTTTTATTTCCCGCCCACAACTAACACATAGACGTAAAAGCCATCTTTTTTAATTTAAGTGCTACATCCAACTAATTAAGTACCGCACTTAACGAAAACAAACAAAGAAAGATTGCAGTTGAGAGGTAAAAATCGTTACAAAAGAAAATATTCTGTCATTCATCTTTTCTTTGCAAGCCAAGTGAGAATAATGGATGGCAGTTTTTATTTTCTTCAGTGAAAAACTCGCTAAGAATAAAAAGTGACACAATTACTAATTAAAAAACTACTAAGACTGAAGATTGTAAATACCTACCTCATTTTGTAATGAATTTTTACAGGAGCTAATTTCGCCAAGTAGCGCCACCTGTTAGTGTACAATTGAACTAGAGAATTAAATTTTGATATGTACTCAACAGATGGCACTACTGTAGGAATATTAAGGTTAAAAAACAGATTTTTGTAATACTTCGTTTATTAATTCAACTATTTAAATAACTGAAAATCCTTAATAACCTTAATTTTGAATAATAATAATTCATCTTCAATTAAAATGCGGTCGTGGTCATAGAGATGCAAAAACTAATATGAACGCAGCCATAAGCATTTCTGCCCAGCTAAATTTAATGTCAATTTAGTGTTACCAGTACAATAGATATTGCAGCTATATCAGGAAATCCACATTATATTTACCAATTTCTGCTACCGCCACAAAAAAAAAGTTAAACATTATGTGAAAGTCATAAAACTCAGTGATTCATTATTGGATTTCTCAGACCACTAATCTTCGAAAATATGTGAATCAATATTTAAATGCATCAATTCAAATTAACAATTTATTTTTGTTTTATTTCACTACAATAGTGCATTTTTGATCAATATTTTAGGAGGGACTATATTCTTTCGAAACAAATAATACGGATACTTATCATGTAATAGTATATTTATTACAATAATTTAAAATTAGTGGCAAAATACACAAAATATAACAACTCAACTCAGTCTCAACTTTCTCAAAAATCTTTTTCTCTAACTTAAAAGTTAAATTAAAACTAAGTAGTTTACTTTGAGTTTTTTTTTTGTGAGGAGAAAATCATCAATTGACTTCTCCCGCCTAGGGCCAGGCAGGAGGGAGTGTCAGACTCTTACTGACTAAAAACCCCCCTGTTCCTTCTCCTGCTCTGTGCCGAGGTCGCGGTACCTCATTGCGCTTACCCCGCAACCCCGGCTGATACTTTGAGGTAATTTAGTTTTGAAGTATGACAACCCCAAATTTAGTACCGTACGAAACTACGCGACGTCGAAACCGCTTTTACGTCCGCGCTAATAAAACTCGTTGAAAATGCATACATCAAAATGGTAGAATCGCTACAAATGTTTTTATTTCTATTTAAATCTAAATACAGACGAAAATGTTCATGGTTCTCGCCATTCCTGTGTTCAGTGCTCATAGTGTTATTGTTCTGTGATGGTGTTCTGTCTAAGTGTGAGGATCATACTTGTGTAAACGGTGTGTGTAAAAATGATATGTGCGTGTGTTACGAGGGGTGGCAGGGTCCGGAGTGTCAGTACTGCGGCGGCAAAGTCAAGTAAGTCTCCTTGGGGTCCACAGAGTGGTTGTGATACATTTTAGTTTGTCTGGTTCACTGACCTCTTTTTGAGGCGCGCCTTACTCGTTGGTAAGTAGAATTTGCAAGAGAAAGCCCGCGAGGATTATCCAATTATACACTTTGGCTTCTTTCCTCCATCCCGGGCGGAGTTCTGAAGGTCGAAGTCGTCGTGACGGCCTGGAAATTGATAATGTTTTCGATCCGTTTCTCTGCCCAACATAAGAGAAAACAACCTTTGCTAAATGAATAATTATGCTTTCAAAACTGCAAATTGGGGACGAATTGGTGTTTTAAACATGTTTAGATACAAAACAAGGACATTTAGACGGATATTTTGTATTATCACGCTAAATGTTGCGTGTTTTAGATTGTCTATTATTTATTTACAGTTTTTCAATGCTGTATCAGCTGTTTCGCGAGATAACCTATAGTTTTTTTTAGGTTATCAGATTTTCTCATTCAGCCTAATAGGATGAGTAATGGAAAAAGGTTTAATGTTCAATGTAGATATTTGATTTAAACTACAAACATGAGATAGTGTAAGCTATTATGTCAATTGTTTCAGAGCTGGTTAAATCCTTCAAATATAAGTCATTATTTAATTAATTAATGGTTGCTAATAATGCATTCATAAACAAAGTAAAAAAGAATAAAGAAAATAGGTTAGTAGGTTTTGGGTTTTCAAATTTCTAATTGGAAAAAAGGTTACACAGGTTTTGATGAACAGACAATTTATTATTGGCTGAACTGATAATAGAATTGCCATATTGTGATTCATATTTAGAACAATATCTTTTAATTAATTAAGCTCCATAGGATAACAACACTTTTAGTGAATCCTAATGTTTTTCCAATTAGTTTTTTGGCTACTAAATATTGGGTCTGTATTGACAAAAGTACAGAATGTTAAAAATGCCTTCAGTCTCATTTGTTTTAAAAGTGTTTTTATGCTTAAAAACTGTCCCAATTCTAAATATTAAGTGTATCCTAAAAGAATAATCTTAGTCTTAGAACTTAGTTAACTTGATTGACTTATTACATCCCTTTCTTTAATTCATCAAGCCCTAAGTGAATGCCAAGTGAATGCATTCACAGACAGTCTTTGATTACCAGACTTGAAAGGCTAAAAAGTTATATCAGCTAGGTATGTAAACAGTATAAAAGTCAAATACATCAATACTAGTGAGTATATTGCTTTAATAACATTGTGTAAAAGGAAAATATACCAATATAGAATTAAATCAAAGATATTACGAAATTCCTACTTACCTAAGTTGTTATTAGATTTAGATTAGAGAGAAGATAAAATTAATATATTTTTAAAAAAACTTAGACAATTTCTTATAAATAAATGCTACTATTCCATTAACGAATACCTAAATGATAAAAATATATAGACATAAACAGTCACACGCAATACACACTCACACACTCACACACACACACACACACACACACACACACACACACACACACACACACACACACACACACACACACACACACACACACACACACACACACACACACACACACACACACCACACACACTTACAGTGTAGATTAAGTGATTCATAATAAAAAAAAAAAAAAAAAAAAATCAAACATAAATATATATAACTTACTTGCCTATATAACCTTAGTCTTAGTCAACAAAAATAAGTAAAATAGCCGATAAGAGCTTCCTCTCTCCTATCCCACTTACTTTGCTGTGCCCGACAGGGTCCATATGAACTATTTATAAGTACTACCACCTAAGAATACATGTGGAAAGCAATAAAGTATTGAGTATTGAGTATTGAGTATTAAGGAAAGATCTTGACAATATGTTTGCAACATACTAGGAAGTCTTTATGAGTCTACCTTGATACTAACTTAACAAATAGGTAAACTTTTCCCTAGAACTCAACTATCATACAAGTTCGTAATGATCAAATGATCAATTTTATTTTTGTAAATAATCTGGACATGGAACATATACTAAAAATTGTTTAAAAAATCTAGATGGAGCTGAAATTTCCTATCGGACTACTCTGAAAAGAAAAGCTTAAACAAACTCAGAGGTCTAGCTCCCCCTTATGCAAGTTTGTTCAACTCAACTCAATTCATTATGAATTTAGTTAACTTTAAATTGGCTATTTTAACTTGAAGATACTTTGCTTATGATAGGAATAGGCATCCAGTAAGATGTAAAATAATATCTAATATTTCTTGTTTTTTGAATAGATAACTTATCAGGCCAGTCAGAAAACTCAGTCTTGCTTGACATGCCCTTTTTCCATTTTCTATTTCTAATAGGATGTGTTTTCTTTTTCTGGCACAAAATCATGGTCTTGTAAATGAAATTTCGAAAGACTGAAAAAACTTGTAGGCCTACCATGACGTGTTTAAGCATCAAAATAGCTATAGTAGGCCCCCTGATAATTACTTTGCTCCACCTGAGAATCAAACCTAAATCGCATTGTTGAGCAGTCTTGCAGCAATCTGCCAATAAGTCAGCTACCAACATTGTAGGTATTTTTATATTCATTTTCATATAAAAGGTATACCATACATCATGCATAGTTCCAAATCTACCATATTATGAAGTCTTAAAAAACTTTTGTTTTGCAGGAACTCATTTAATAATAAATTCATCATAATAAAAGGGCAGAATACCCAACAAAACTGGGAGCAAGGAGGTTATCAACCTTTTTTTTCCACACCACCTAAAACCGAGATAAAATATAACTGAACAGAATACAATAACCTTGCATTGAATTTATTTAATCACAAGATAATAATTAAACAATCAAAATACAGTGTGAGATCTGATTTTCATTGTTCTACATTTGTATCAAACAAAAACAATTGTTTATGGACTGCTGGTTACTGTATGTGTGACACTTGTGTTGCTTAACCATGATATAGTATTTATTCTATAAAATACCCCGCAAACATATTATGAATTTGTCACATTTGTCCTTACTAGGTTTTCGAACTGTACTCTGTGACATGTGAGAAGTTTATATACTTATCAATTATAAACAAATGCCAATTCCTACCTAAAGATATTGAATATATGAGAAGAAAATTCTATGCTAGAAATGCTAAAACAGAGTTCACATGAAAATAGCCCGAAATAATAATATTTTTTACTTAATCGTTGGTTGATTTTTGAAGAAGTAAAAAAAAAATTTATAACTCTTTTTGATGAAGAACCTACAGGGCAATAGATACTCAAATGATTTGATTGTTGTTGTTGGAAATGGAAAAAAATTATAATTATGTTTATATTTATCCCAGTTAGGTATTTATGTAAATTACAATTAGGTAGTTTTAACTCAAGAAATTGTGAATCAATAAGCTTACTATATGAAAACTAATGAACCACCCCAGTTTCTTGGTACAATAATGATAATAAAATTCTCCACTATTTAATGAATGTAATTAAAATACAAATAAATCTTCCTCTTTAATAACTCTATCTATTAAAAATAAACAAAGGGATATAGGGATATTATTAGATACTAGTATATATATAAGTATTATATGACAAGGTCACTGACACAAGTCCATTGAGATTTGAAAACATAAAAATATACATACATATATGTATGGTATGGTTTAATTTTTGGGAGAGGAAAATCATCATGTGACTTCTCCCGCCCATGGTGAGGCAATAAAAGGTCTGAGTGTCAGTGCTAACTGACTAAAAACCCACCCATTCCTTCTACTGCTCTAGGCCGAGGTGGCAGTGCCTTATTGCGCGTATCCCGCGACTCTGGCTAAATGTAGGTGAGGGTACATGGTATACTTAATTACCATGATGTTGTGTACCTTTACCTAGCCTTTAGAGATCAGAATCATCAAATTTTCTGCCATAAAAATAAACATTTTTAGCACAAACAAGATTCTAACAATAAAATATTTTCTTTTTTTCAGTTTAACATCACCAACAGGCTTCATAACAGATGGGCCTGGTAACTACAGTGTCAGCACCCAGTGTTCATGGCTGCTGACTCCCCCCAGACTTGGGCCAACCCCCCCACCTCTTCGCGTGCGCCTCGAGAGCTTCGCAACGGAGTGTGGATGGGACCACCTCTATGTTTACGACGGTGATAGCGTTAGGGCTGAGAAATTACTAGCTGTGTTCAGGTGAGTGTATTTTAAACTTTATAAGGTAAAGGATAGTGTTGATAATATTTTGTATTGTGGATAGGCTGAGTCTAATTAAAGTGTTAAAATAGTTAATTGGTCAAAAGTTGACCATCATAAATAAAGTTGTGAGGAGAAATTGACATTGTGTAAAATAATTTATATTCAGAAATTTTCAGTTGAAGGCTATCAGAGCAAAAAAGTGCTATAGGTATATTCTGAATTTACTTAATTGTTGGTTGACTGTCAAGGCTAACGGGATGGGAGATAAAACACATATATATATATATATAATTATGTATGTACATATATTATACATTGTAACACAATGTTTCAATTCAATTGTCAAGTCAAGGTTGACTTTTTTTCTGTACTTGCTAGTCCTCGGCTCTGCATGCTGGCATGTCCACTTTCTCAGAGATTTTTCAAATAATTTTCTTTCTTTTCCTGTAATATTAATATCACTGAAAAATCGAAAACACTACCACTATCTATGGCCTATCGGGTTAGTTGGTTAACTAAAGGTAAACAATCTAGATAGGTCTTTTTATATATTAAAGAGGTTGTTTAAAATTATTTAAATTCATTACCTAACATCGATTTCGGTGAATCTGATAGCAAAAAGTTTTATATTCCATTTTAAGACAGCCTTGTCAGATGGCATCATGGTTGGTGCAGTTTGCAACGTGCCACAGGTTCAATTCCTGAAACGGAACAAGTGTGATCCAAAAATTATTGTATCGGGTCGGGGTGGCTTGTGTTTATGAATTTGTATGTTTGTCAATGCACCAACGAACCAGGAGAAAATCTTAGTGAGGGGTAACTGTTTTTTAAGAAAGAACTTTGATATCGAAAGACATGCCTAGATTTAAATATAAGTATTTAGGTAACCGACAGACCATACCAAAATATTCCTTCAGTGAAAAACAAGTATGTTACGATTACACTGAGCCACTAAAGCGTTGACTCAACCAATTAACAACATTAAACAAGGTTTTCCTAGAAGCTATTTCGTAGATATATACATAGATTAGGACTTCATTAGTTCTTTGTATACATAGGTATAATTCTAATCTCTCAGATTAAGACGTCACAAACACAAGAACGTAATTATCCTGTGCTGTATTTCTCGAGGGGGGAAACCATCCTATGACTTCTCCTGCCCTTAGGGGGCCAGAGGGGGTGATTAATGTTCTTCAGCAGTTTCCCCAATTCGCCCAGGTCGCGATCTGATAATAGGCCATCAAAACAATGTCGCCATGGTTTAAAAAATAGGCGAATGGATGGATTAGCGATTTTTTAAAAAGTTGTTTTCGCACGATACTTTCCGTGTTGTCTAAATATACTTAAAACGTACATTTACTTAATTAACTCAAAAATTCATTAACTTTTCACATGAGAATGAATTGTATGTGGGACCTAGTTCTAGATACCTAGTAAAACTTAATAGATAGTTTCTTATTTAATTACAATAAAATTTACTATGTAACTAAGTGGATAAAAGTATGCTGATGATGATGATGATGATGATGATGAAAAGAAGAAGTACTTCTACTTCTACTTCTTCTACTTGTACTTCTTTTATAGGTTTTAATATTTATCATTATATAATCAGATTTAAGGTATTCAACTAACCCGTTTCTATCTCCCATTTCCAGTGGTGTCTTAGAGAATGGAGAGTCAAGTTGGACGAGGCAGGTGATAGCTCGTTCGGGCAGCGCGCTGCTGCACTTCTTCAGTGATGATGCGTATGCCATGGAGGGGTTTAACGTGACGTATGCAGCGTACTCCTGTCCTTCTAACGATCATAGGACTAATTGTTCAAGTAAGTATGCTTAGTTTTTTAATATTAGGCAAATGAGCAGACGGATTACCTGATGCTAAGTCATCAACGCCGCCCATGGACACCAGAGATGTCACAATCACATTGTCGGCTTTGACCTTGCAGGGCTCTCGGATGACTAGTATCCAAAAACAAGGAATATCAGTAAACAGCTGTTTAAGAGCGAACACATCATTACGTCAAACACAAAATGCTTTGTCGCGATCGTTCACAATCGGCTGCACGGTTGGCGCAGTGGCTAGGTAACCGGCTCCTCTGCAAAGCTTTCGATTCCCAAACGAAACAAGTCATCAAACAACGCTTTATGTGATCCACGAATTGTTGCGGGTCTGGGTGTGATGTGCTTGCCATCTTCTATAATTCTTAACGCGTCCACGATTCAGGGAAAAATATGTGGTGTTATGTTTTTATGGGCCCTTGTAGTTTCATGCTAGTTTTTCTCCATAGAAATCTAAACTTTTAAACTTTTAATCTAACGATCAATTTATTAGCTTCAGTAGAAGACAGACCGAAAGACGGTCGGTTTTTAACTTTTGATATTTATTTTATTTGACGTTCCAAAGGGCCCATAGAGGTCTATTTAAAAAATAATGATTTGTATTGCAGTTATAATGACCCTAGAATCTACTAAATTTTTTAAAGTATACTTTTAAGAAATGTTTTGTATAACTTCCAGATCATGGTGAATGTGAAGATGGATCGTGTAGATGTGAACCAGAGTGGACGGGAGTTGCCTGTGATGAGCCACTATGTCCAGGTAAACATTTCATCATCGTTATCATCACCATTCTGGTAAGAATACTGTTCCCACATACAGGGTATAGGCGAAAATAATCTCTATTCTCAAAATTATCCCTACTTCTCCTTTTTGTTTACCTACTTGAATTTCCATAAATGTATATTGAGTTAATGATTTCTTTTGTCTGTTGGTCCATCTGTATTTCACAGCTACTTTTGTCCGAAACTATACCTAATTAATCTAGTAATTTCATACATGATAACGTCTCCAAAGGACTTCTCCAGCCCTGGCTACGAAAGGGAGGGTCAGACTCTTACTGACTAAAAATCTCCCCGTTCCTTCTTCTGCTCCAAGCTGGTTTTGATTTTTACCCCCAATCCCGGGGCAAACTTTCAACACACAACAATTAATTTGAGAGGGTAGTTTTCTTTCGTTACGTCATAAATAGTTACTTACTGCTATGTAATCCTCCATGGCCGATCATTTGTTTGAAGCGAATGTTAACTTGAATCACCAGATAGAGAGAGAGAGACCTTGATTGACCAGCACTAAGGATACAACAGGCAGGTACAAAAGTTGTCGTGATAAAAGCCCAAACATATTTTTGTTCAACCCGAGCCGGGCATTGACCCTAAGTGTAACTCAACTACTTACGTACCTATAGTTAGTATTATAAAAAGGAAATATTTGTTGGTTTTTGTTTTGTTGTGAGCTCTGAAATTCCTTGATCGATTTGAGATTTTTTTTCACCATTAGAAAGGTTATTTTTTAAGGAGTAGCATAGGCCTTTTTTGGGAGTGTCAGACTGTTACTGACTAAAAACCCAGCCGTTCCTTCCCCTGCACCAGACCAAGGTCGCGGTATCTTATGACTGCAACTCCGTCTGAACATGCATCGTTCATGCATTGAGCCATATTTGTGGTGGTCTATTGGTTCTTGAGGGGCGCCTTTATTCGCCGTCTGCAGATCCGCGATTATGGTGGCTGGAGATCGTCCCTCGATCCCCGACGCCCGGAGTATCACCTACTGTGCCGGCTAGGGCGTGAGGAAGAAAGTTCCATCACGTATTCCCCCTCTTTCCAATTCGTCTCTCTAATGGCTCAAGGCCTCTAAGGCCGGGCGCGAGAGGTCGCCGCCGATCACTTCCTTGTCAACACGGCCGTGCTCAGCCCAAGCAGGGTACACCGCCACCACTATGCTTCACCGTATACTCGATCCTCGAGTAGTCCTCGCAAAAACGGGACTTGGTCGTTTCCTTCGGACCTGAGAATGATACCTACCGAAGGTTCCTTGCCCGGTAATCACCTGTGGAAGGTGAGGACGTCATGGCTTCACTCTAGTCACTCCTCAAAGTGTGGTTAACCGCTGTTATGACAGCGTGCTCGGGCGAAACATAACGCTGTGGCTGTTTTACGCCAGTTTTCTGTGAGGCCGTGCTATCACTCCAGTCCAGGGTCTACTGTCTATTCGTGCCGAAGCATGGCTTTCACAGACTTCAAAAGTGCCTATGGTCTAATTGAAATAAAAATTTTGACTTATAAAACAACATCCTAAATCTTAAACAATGTACCCAAGTAGACAAACTTAATATTTTATCTTTACACTTTATCACCGAATCGACTCTAACTATAAATAGATGTAAAAGGTTTCGTCACTATAAATAAAAATGTTGACCTTTCCACCTTTGTGAATAACGGTTATTTTTTACGGTACGACCTTGAGTTGTATGCTCATTACACTACGGCCTGTGACGGTATGTGGGGTGTGTTCATAGAAACTGTAATAAATGCCATCGATTTGTCTCCATTAATTATTTAATGATGACTCTGTAGGTATTTGTAAAATTCTATTGCGTTTTTTTATTGACGTCTCTAGGGCGGTTTCACTTCTCTGCTAGGCGCGTATAGATCGTAGCTACAAAAAATCTGTCCTTATGTGTGATAGGTTGGTCAACGAGATGACGGATTACCTGATGGTAAGCAATCAGCGCCGCCCATGGATTCCTACAACAACGGAAGAGTTACGAGTGCGTTGTCGGGATATATATAGGGATTTGTGATTGGGGAAGTTTTGGAAACGGTAAGGACTGGGCCTATTCATACGATACACGACGAATCACAACGCTATGGTTGTTTCACGCTGGTTTTCTGTGAGGCCATGGTATCGACCCATTTGAATAGAATCATTTTACATTGTTTGTTATTTTTATTGTATCAAAACAATTATTTGTGTTTTAGTTTGTAAGAATGCTTGTCGTTTGGCCCACAGATAATAGTCATTATTGTAAAATGAGAAAGGGATATTCTGTCTGTGGACCATAGACAGAACTTGTTTTTGATTTAAGACCTAGTATTTTAAGTTTTTGTTTTGTTACTCTTTCTTTTTTTCCTGTAATACTTTCCTGATTACCTTTCACTTTCCATATGAATGCTTTGATGTAGTTTTTAAGTTCATGTGTGTTCTGCGCGAAAATTAATGGTATTTATTTTCTTTTCTTTCTTTCTTTCTTATTTGTGCCTAAGAATGATTCTCCAACACTTAAAAGTTTTTCTTCTCTTTTTTGAAAGAGTAATACAGTCTCACGACTACGCAATACTAATCTTATTACAATTATCTTACAGAGGAATGCAACGCAGCGTACGGCGGCGGTACTTGCACGCGTTCAGGTTGCGCGTGCTCAGCGTTAAAGCGCGGCATAGCGTGCGCACGCGACGCTTGGCGCGCTGGCTGGGCCCCGCCCACCCACAGCGGGGACACGCCCCCTGTAGCCGCGCATGTATTACTCCCCTATGGAGACGATTTGTTAAGAATTGGAGGGGAGACGTTTTCGCATTCACATTTTCTTTATAGGTACGTATTAGGCACCTATTAATCTTAAATACAGTTTGAATAACCTGCAGACGGTACTTAATAGGTTTTCAATATTTTTGTAATTGGTTTAGTCACCAATATAAGTGTTTGGTAAACTCATTTTGTTATAAAAGAAATTTTTTTTAGCTTTCTAAATCAAAATGTTCGAAAATTTAGTATAATATTAAATTAGTAACAAAAATTCTGGAATTTTGAACAATACACTTCTGTGAACCACTTATTATGTTTTTTTAAGTATTTATTTTATTGACTAGGGTCCAACTATCTCGCTATCAAAGGGTCACTTTTTCCCAATTTTCCTTTCTATTTTTTTTATTTTCTTTGATAAGAACCTTCTCCTGACAATAACAAACATACGTTTGTATATATGTACTATACATATATATATAAATGAATATAGATTAACGAAGCCCAGTAGACCCGGGCGCACAAAATTTAGCCCCAAGAAAAAATTTTGTACAGTGAACGTTTCTAACCAACTAGACTTAACTGGCAGTTGTATTTTCAAAAAGCTCGTTAGTAATTTGTCTCTAAACTATTTATTCGGGTCGGATGTCTATTTGTTTTTTTATGGCATAGGTCGGCAAATACGAAATACCTGACGGTAAGCAATCGGCGCCGCCCTTGGTCACTGGGCCGGCTTTTAGGGATTAGGGTTTCTGACAAGTATTTAAGGATTGGGAAGGGATGAGGGAAGGAGAGTGATTGGGCCTCCAGTAACTTCACTCACACGGCGAATCACAACACTTTGGTTGTTTCACGCCAATTTCCTGTGAGGCCGTTAGATCACTCCGGCCAAGCCAACCCATTCGTGCCGAAGCTTGGCTCTCCAATACTTTACCACTTTGTTTAAATCGTATTTGATATTTATAGACGATGAATTAAAACTGAATAATGAAGATAGTCTATTTTAACATTTAATATATTGTTTACACGCTATTCTGAGTTAATACATTAAATTAATTAATTACATAATTAACCTGTATATAAATTGTTTCCAGATATAAGACGGCAGAACAAGAATGGGAGGTGCTCCCCACATACGACAGTCCGGCGCCGAGGTTCGCGCACTCGGCCGTGTTATACGGACACGAGCTCATCGTTTACGGAGGTGTCGTTATATCTGATGAGCCGGAGAGAGGGTCAGTCTTTTTCATTTGTTTTGTTTTAGTTTTTTCTTAAAAACGTAGCCCCACATTACGATTTTCTCCTGTGTCGTGGGTGCGGTTACAAACATACAATTTCACATACACATGACACCCAGACCCGGAACAACAATTTGTGGATCACACAAAGAGTTGTTCCGTGCGGGAATCGAACCCGCGACACGTTGCACGGCAGCCAGTTGCCCAACCACCGCACCAACCGTGCAGTCAAATTTATATTACATCAATGATATTATAAGTAAAAAAGTGTAGATAGGTAACAAGCGCTCAGAAAGTGATACATTCAAATGTGGCTAATTAGCCACATTTTTTCATATTTGTCTCATTTTCACTCGCGATTATTGAATCATGCCATCTCACTTTAACGTGTATCATACGCTTTATTGTTGTGTGCATTAGTGTGCCGTTTTTGAAAATCGAATTTTGTTTATGTAACCAATCTTCATCTTTTTACTTATAATATTACATAGTATAAAACAAAGCCGAATGATCAGACGGATTACCTGATGGTAAGCAATCAGCGCCGCCCATGGACACCCGCAACGGAGGAGTTTCGAATGCGTTGCCGACCTTTTAGGGATTAGGGATTTGGAGATGGAGGGAAAGGATTGGGCCTCCGGTAACCTCACTCACACGGCGAAACACAACGCTGTGGTTGTTTCACGCCGGTATTCTGTGAGGCCGTGGTATCACTCCGGTCGAGCCGACCCATTCGTGCCGAAGCTTGGCTCTCCCAAAGTTAAAATCTAAAAAATATTTTTACCTTTATCTTGCAGTGGTGGTCTAGCAGGATTAGAAGGTCGCGCTGGAGAGGTCACTAACGAGATCTGGCGCGTCCGACTGAACAGTGAAAGACCACAGTGGCATAACGCAACGCCTATCACATGTTCACCGCATAGACAACCGCCTTTGAAGCATTGTGGTAAGTTATTTTAGACTCTATTGCTCTCTCTGTATGGTTTAAAATGTATTTACTTTGAAGTGAATGTTACTTCATTTTGACAATGCTAAATGGTTTTGTGCTTTATTTTATAGTCTTGTATTAAGATTACTTTAAAACATTGTAGTAAGCTAATATAGTACGTATGATTCAGTAAATAAAGTTAAAATGCAATTTAATGTGGTAAATTAAAGTGGACTCTTCTTTTTTGACGTTTGAATAGAGAGATTTGACGAGAAAGGCCTAGAATTGATTGTTGACTAAAATGTCTTTTGGCCTTAAAATAATAGATATTGCGTTGAAAATTAAATGAAATTACTGTATAGTTGTTGTAAGCTAATATAGACTTTATAGGCCTTTCAATTCGGTTCAAAATGAAGGTTTAATGAAATTATTTTTCGTTTTACAGGTGGTCTACATGTATCTGGTCACACAGCTGTACTGGTCTACTTAGGAGTTACGAAGAAACCTGTGATGCTTGTCTTCTTTGGACATTCTCCGCATTATGGCTACCTTCATTTAGTTCAGGTTAGTATTGAGCACTGTCAGATATACGAACTCAAAGAAAAGGACTGTGGAATAGCCTGGCTAGACCGGCAGAGATACCAGAGAAAGACCTTGACCGCACTAAAAAGGGGCTGTATCGGAGAGGTCATCCTTAAAACACAATCTTGGATTGGATGTGGTGAGATCCGGGAGCTTTTGCGGGGAGGAGGAGGGATCGGACCTCCGGTAACCTCATTCACACGGCTAAACACAACGCTGTGGTTGTTCCACATCGGTTTTCTGTGAGGCCGTGTTATCGCTCCGGTTAAGCCGACCCATTCATAGCGAAGCATGACTCTCCCACACTCAAAAAAGTATCGACTCTCTTGCTCCAAGCCAAGGGCGCGGTTCCGAATCTCGACTGGTCAAACCAAAGTTTAAGTAGCCTTCAGCGTTTATTATGGGCATTGAGTCCTCAAGCGATACATCTAGAGGTCCGAAAATCTCCATAATGGAATGGCACATCCCTCTAAAATTTACTTTACCAAATATTAGTAGTAATATGTTGTGTTCCATTTCATTTGGATTTCAGTTGTCTAAATGGCCTTTGCGCTGTTGGGTTAGGCCCTTCATACGCCTCGAGTTTGGTAAAGACATACAAATAATAATAATAATTATTATAATTAACTTCTCAGGAGTACTATGTGGACGAAGGAGTATGGGCAGTGGCGGCGACGCGTGGCTGGGCGGCTCGAGCGGGGTTTGGTCACGCCGCGGCGTGGGACCCGCTCTCACGCCGCGTCTACCTTCACGGCGGGCTTGTCTCCGAGTCCGAGGCTACGCAGGTAATGTCGACAAAAAAACAGTAACTAATAATAAAGGATTGTACATAATACGGTAGTTTCCAGCTAGTCGAATTCAATACTTTTATCCAAATGTCAAAAACTATACTTTTCTATGAAATTTGTATGAAAAACTGAGTTTTTGATTTTTGACCTAGGAAACTACCTAATTACTAAACCCATAAAGACTGCCAAAGTTAAAAAATAAAATTAAGTAAGTGGTTTTTTAAACTCAGAATTATTGATCATTGTAATGAATTATTGTTCTCCATTTTGCAGGCTCCATCAGCGTCGCTGTTCGAGTATGACCCAGAACTAAGACTGTGGCGCCCTCTACAGTCGGCGCCGACTCCTAGATATTTACATAGTGCTACATTTATTACTCCAGGTAAATTTACCAACACTTTTTACACCAAATCTCGAAAAATTTTGATAATGATTTTACTATTATAAATTTATATGTTTATTTGTATACGATATTTTTGGGATATTGGAAAGGGATTATTGAGCCTCCGGGAACCTCACTCACACGGCGAAACACAACGCTGTGGTTATTTCACGCCGGTTTTCTGTGAGGCCGTGGTATCACTCTGGTCGAGCCGACCCATTCTTGTCGAAGGCTGGCTCTACCACATTTAATACGGTAGTTTCCAACTAGTCAAATTCAATACTTTTATCTAAATGTCAAAAACGATAGTTTTCTATGAAATTTGTATGGGACTGGTTTTTTGC